AATAATTAATTAAAAATTAAATAGGTTTATTTGACTCTAACTATTTCTTTAGTACCACTAGTATATGTTCCAAGTACTTGCACATGTATTAAAGTATAGCTAATCCTAATCCAATCCATATTTCCTTGTACATCAATTAAGAATTATTGGCAGTAACACACTAACAAATTAATGGTAATAAATTTATCCCTAATTTTAAATTATATGTTCCAACTTAAATACATACTTGTAAATGAAAAAGCTACCCTTTTCTTCTTTAAAAAAATATACTACCTCCAACCTCTGTAACGGATGCTACACTTTAAGTGCAACAAACCAATGCAAAAACTTTCCTCTAGTAAATTTTTTTTGTATGATATTATTATATTACCCTTTCTTATAGTTTCCAAATCAAAATTAAAAGACTAAATGAGACTTGATTAAATTACAAACATAAATCAATTAACCTCAAACTAAATCAACCTCCCCCAACTACCACCATTCAATCACCAATTCAATGATCAAAAGAAAAAAAAAATCTTCCAGACATTCCCTTATTCATCTTTCTCTCTCCTCCCTCAAACTTCACCAACAACCACCACCACCACTGGTCCCTCCGGATTCCGTGCACCGCTACCAAACTTCTCCGGCCACCACAAAACTCCTGCTCTCTTCTTCGGCCACCACAAAACTTCTATATGTCTTCTCCGACCACCGAGTCAACCCGTGTTAAAATCGTCAACGATGTTATGGTCAAATTTGACCAAATAAACCCCTAAATGACGATTAGAAGCTAAATAACTACCAGTTTTAAAGCTTTGTCTTCATAGTTTTAGGTTGTTTGGTGGTTTTTTCTCTTTAGTTATTATAATAGCAAAAGGTTTAGTGAAATCATTGAGTTGGTTTTTCTGTTTTGTATACTCAGTAAAAACTTTATTCCAAAGCTTAATTTGAACTCGTTTCCCCCTAATTACAAAAAAAATATTAGATACACATAAAATAAATATACGTAAGAAGAATTATTTAAAAATATTTAAAAAAAAAAAACATACATACCATTTATCTTCTATTTCGATAGAATCACCAATTTCGTTTACAACCATACCTACTACGTCTAATATAAAAATACAACATTTAAAAAAAACATACATACCATTTATCTTCTATTTCGATAGAATCACCAATTTCGTTTACAACCATACCTACTACATACGTCTAATATAAAAATACAACACTGAAATATTAGAAAAAAAAATTGATATAAAACAATCTATACATTTTAGATAAAATAAACCAATATATTTACCGGGAAGTGAATAATTGTTGCGAAATTGATCTAAAGAATGTAATTGTATAAAATCAAATCTATGCATTGGTATTTTTTTTCATCATCTCCAATAGCTCGGACAACAGTGTTTTGAAAAAATTGAATCATTATTTTGTTGTCACTGACAATGCGATATTGATTTTTATTTGAAACGACTTAAAAGTATCTAATGGTGTAAACTTTTCCTTCAATCAATTTCGAACGAAAGGGTTGAACAAAGTTGGATTTGATTAAGGCGTGAATGTAATAACCCTGTAATTAAAAATAAGAAATTAAGTTAATTAGTTATAATAAAAACTAAAGAGGTTCAATTAAAAATTTAATAGAGGTTAATATTTTATAAGAAATACCTCCTCGTCCAATAGGACCATATCCAAACTTATTAAGCTATCTTGTTTGCGAAAATTCAGTACGTCAAACAGGCGAGAAACACGTACTTTGATTTTCCAATCATTTTTGCTTGAATTTAATTCTCTAATTAAATTTGATTTGTATGTAAAAACAAAAAACAAACATAAATCCCAAAATAAACACAATGTAAGTAACAAATACGAATATATATATATTTTTTTAAAAAGGAAAGAATTAACCAGCCATTGATGATCTACAACTGAAACAATTACTAACACAAAATTTAATTGATTTGATTTTGTATTGATACGGAATTTTGTTGGTGATGTATGATGCGTCAATTTATAATGGTAGGTATCACAAATTTTAATTTAATTATAATAAACGAATAATTTATAATTATTATTGTAAACACCATCAAAATTTATCGTATAATGTTAGATATGTTATTTTATTGGGTTATTATTAAAATAAATTTTATCTTATATTGATAGTTATGATTATCAAATCCTAATATTGAAAATTATGATATTTTATTTTGGGTTAGGTCCATTATAAATAGATTTTTAAATTAAACCACTTGTTATTAAATTATAACATGAGTTTTATACATCACATCATGACGTCAAAACTAACATCTAAATTAAACATGGCAAAGTAATTTATGAATCATAATTTTTTGTATGGCCAGTCAACAACCAATACAAAACTTACATGCATGATGAAATTAAGCCATATTTTATAATGATGTTTATTATCATAGAATATTTTAATCAAAGAGTAGTGGGTGTTTAATATGAAAATTCTACAATGTCATTCTTTAAAAATGACACCATAAAGTGTTGACATGGAAAAATCTAATTGACTTATATTTAGTATTTTTATTTTTATTTTGAATTATTTTCTATGTCTATAATGTATTAAAATTGTATTTATATCATATATTCTTTTTAATACATGTATTATTTTATATCACATTTATTTTAAAAAAAAATCCCAAAATTGAAATTGTTCATCATCAATGTTCGTTCTTCATTCATCCACCCATTCCCAAACATTCATTGTTAATGTATTCTCATCATTTTTCTTCATTCATCCACCCATTCCCAAACATAATTGTTAATGTATTCTCAATTCTTGCACCAAACACATACGAAATAGCTAGGCAACGAATAACCAGATGATAATCACGGATTTGCTACCGGAGAGGAAGAACAATTGCCGGAAATAATGTTGCCTGAAAAGTGAAAACTGAACAATACATTCCCGAAAAAGTCTCTTGGAACCTTCCTGAAATTGACCAGGCCAAAATTGATCCCAAAACTCGTCAAAACCTTGAGCTGCTGCCGTGAATGCCGAAGAGCCGCCGGGTTGTTGATCGGAATATTGGAAAACCCAATAAAAATATGAATTAAGAATAAGAATTGAAAACCCAATAAAAATTCGATCTTTGGAGGATTTGTTCGTTGGTCGAAATTTCGGTTTGAGTTCCGTTAATTAAGATCACAAATGAAGAATGATGATGAATATTTGATTATCTAAATTTTGATTGTATAATTTAATTTTTTGGATGATTTTAAAAATTAAAAATAAATTTTCAAATACTCTGATTATGTATTCTATACAAAAATTGAAAAATATATGTATTTTCAATTATACATATATGTATAGTACATTTTGACTTATAAAAATAAAGGAAAAATTGACCAATCATAACATGTCACATCAGCATGTTATAGTGTCCTTTTTTGAAGAATGACACAGTAGAATTATCCGTGTTTAATATCATATGATAGTTAAATCATATGATATGCACGGCTCTTTTTGGTGAAGATTTATCATATGATATTTAAATCACATTATTTAAAAAAAAAATTGTAAATATGATCATGATAAAATCTTTAATGTGAAAAGATAGTTTTTTTTTATTTAATGATTTAAGATAATTATCTACATGGCATTATATTAAAATTGGAGATATATCGAATCTAATTCGTCACTTTTATCTAAGTGGCGTGTGAATTTTTTAATTCTAAAATAAAATAGAAATCTATTTTTTAATTGGTCGAAAATATACCTTCGCTTATGTGGCGCTCTCAATGCTTCCGAAAAATGCCTACTTTATTTATATATACTAGATTTAAGCCCGTGCGATGCACAGTTTTTAAATATTTCATTTTATATATTTTTTTTTTGTAATTTCTTAATATTTTTTTGTTTTCATTTTCTATTCTATTATTTTAACATTAATTTAAGGTAAAATATTTTATTAAGTTTTAAATTATTCTTATTCAAATTTTACGTATATAGAACTTGAATTTATAAATTGAAATAAATATTATCTCATTTATCGCATAGTTAGATAAAATCATTAAATCAAAATATATTTTTTAATTTATAATTATTTGTTAAAATAATTTAAATCCTAATGTAAAAGATAATATAAAAGATAATTTTTGTTTTTTTTTCATAATTTAAATCTTAAATTACTAATTTTTTGTTTTCAATTCTCAAATTTTATTTGTTAATTTTTTTCTTAAATGGCGACTGAAAATTAAAATTCTAAATTAATATATATAACTAATTTTTCATTGGTCGAAATATTACTTTTGCTTATGTGGCGTGCGATGCACGAATTTTTATATACATTTTGTATATGAATATTTTTTTGGTGATCTCTTAATTTTTTTCTTGCATTATAAGTTTTAAAATTTTGTATGAAAGTATCATATCATCATATATTTACATAAAACCATTAACATCAAATGATAATTTATATTTTTTAAATATCAAAATATAAATTTTTGTTTTATAAATAATATAAATCCTAATATCTAAAGATAATTTTTAGTTTTGTAACAAATAAAAATGATAAAATTTAGTGTTCTTAAATAATTAAAATCCTAATAATAAATTACTATTCGACATTTTTACCTACGTGGCAAAAATTTAAAATTTCATTCGTCACTTTTGTTTAGGTGGCGAGTGATTTTTTTAATTCTAAAATAAAATAGAATTCTAATTTTTAATTGGTCGAAAATGTACCTTTTCTTATGTGGCGCTCTCAATGCTCTAAAAAAATGTCTACTTTATTTATAATATATATATAATATGTATGTATATATATATATATATATATATATATATATATGATTAGATTAGATTAGATTTATAAGATGAATTAGGGTTAATTTTACACGGACAATATTAAATCACTTTTTTACTGGTACAAATAAACGAGATTAATTGTAAAATATGTATAAGATAATAACCTAACCAATATAAAACTCTATTATATGTAAAGTTTCCTAATCTAATGATTCTTAAGTCTTAGTCCGTATAAATAAATGCGGTGACACCACAATTAGACACAAAACTCTATCGTCAGGTTTAACAATGGCGATTGAAGAGGAGATTAAGCAGAAGTCAGGTTTAACAATGGCGATTGACGAAAGCAAGCATGAGGACAATGATGATAATCATGTATCAGCACTTTGTGCATCATCTTGCTACCCTGATATTATACAGGTAATATTTCCAGCACCTCTTTTTTACTTTATTTTTTCCCGAATTTTTTAGTCAATCCCCTTTGTTCATGGCTTTGAATTTTTTGTAATGCTTTGCTTTTTTGTAAGTATTTCGATGGACGCTTAATTCAACACCATAAAATCAGAAAATTGAAAACAATAAACGAAATCAAACAAATCCTAGGGTTTTCGTTTGTTGTTAGGGTTAAGATTTCTGAAAGTAGATATAATTTCATTATTTCTATGCAATTTTCAACAATGTGTTCTTAGTAGTTTATAATTTCAGAATTTCAGTTGATAATTTGGCAAAAAAGTTTAAGAGCTGCTAAAAGTTAATGAGGTTTTGTTTATATTTGTGTCAATTTCAACTTTGTAGTAGATAATTTTATAAGGATTTCAATAATTCAATTGTTGATTGTGGCAGATCCTTCTTCTTGTGGAGTAGAATTGGCGGGAAAAGTTGAATATCAGCTGATTTTTGATTGTGTTCAACTAATGGTAAAAATTGAGGATAGTCTGTACATTCTGTATGCTTTCATCCGTGACAATTATGGCCGAAACATTCCTGAAGTTGAGTCCCTCGTCGCACACCCTATTGACTATGTTCGCGCTGTTAAGGATGCTGGTTTTGAAATTGTTGATGGAGCCTGTGATCAAGTGCTGGATCTTGTTTCACTGAGGAAAAGGCTCCTTGATTTTGTGGATAACAGGATGGTGTATATTGCGCCGAATCTCTCTGCTATTGTCGGAGCAACTGTGGCAGCGAAGCTGATGGTGGCAGCCGGAGGATTGGAGCTGTTAGGGAAGATGACAGCGTGCAATGTCCAACTCCTGGGATCCCAAAGGAGAAATCTGGATGGACTTTCCACACGGCTACACTTTGGCTGTCTTCAGGAGTCGGATATATTGCAAACCTTTCCCTCGGCTTTGACAATAGGTGCTAGCAGTGTGCTTGCTTCTGCGTGTAGTACTGCTGCACGCGTAGATTCTATGGGAAACGACCTTACTGGAAATACTGGAAAGAATCTGCGAGAAGTGGTTGTTAACAAGATTAATAGATATTGTAACGCTGGTAGGGAACATTCAGGTACTCTCCCTGTGCTTCTAATTCTTGCATTACGTATTTAGAAATCTAGCTTGCTGTTAACCTGCCTCTGTATTTCTTCGTGTTCTTGACAGATTTAAGGACCAACATTGCTGAAGGAGCACCTGATAGTAAGGCTTTGGCTGGTTTATCTTAAGAGAGTTTGATGTCAGGCGAGTCAGATTGCAAGAGCAATTGAACAAGGCAACACAAATGGCTTTCTAATTATGAATGTAATTATGGATAATATTTATTATGACATTTAAATGTTTATGTTGATTATTTGAATCTCTGAAGTTGTTCTTCATTAGAATTGTAAGGTTTTAGCTTTATTCAACTTTGAGATAGTTTTAACCTTTATAAATAAAGAGACTCTGTTTGATACTCATGGCAGTTGTTTTGCTATAGAATGTGGGGTTAAGAGCAATGCATATTGTTGTATAGGTTATGCTAAAACTCTAAAAGTATTGTTCATCAATACAGTAGAGGTAGTTGGCCCTTGTTAGAGTGTACTCTGCTGAATTTTGAACACCATTCTTGTTTTGTAAATGTGGGTGTTGGGGCTTATTGTTATTAACTTATTACTGTGGGTGTGAAGTGCAAAAATCAGGGGACGAGTTGAAATCTTTTCAAATTTTCATCGAGAGGGGTAGGTGGTCGTGGTGGGGATAAGGGGGTAAGGGAGGAGGATTTTTAACTAGGGGTAGCGCTGAGCCATTGAATAATAAGTGGAAAAAAGGGTTAGAATGAGTTATTATATACGGCCTTTATATTTTAAATATTTATTTTGGTATATAAATTTTTATTTTAATACATGTATGAAATAATTTATATTTTAATTATCAATATAATACAATGATCAAATTTTAAAGTACTCTATATATTCAAAACATTACCTTTCTTTCTATGTAATCCAAGTTTAAAAATCAATACTTTGTGTATATGGTAATTAATTTGTACTAGTATATATTATAAATTTTCTTTATTGCTTTACTCATATATATTAAACTAAATAGTAAATAAATTACTTACATATATGTATTGAAATATAAGTACGTGCAATAAAATATTAAGAATTTCATCAAATAAAGGGTTTTTTTAAAGTACTATAATATATATATATATATATATATATATATATATATATAGGGGAAGGCTCTCGTGAGAAATTTTCATATGTGAGAATTTTTCTTATGTGAGAACACTCTTTATGTTCTAAAATTTTTACTCGCATGTTCTAAATTTTAAATCTGATGTTCTAAACTTTTCCTTAGGTATTCTAAATAAATCGAATGTTCTAATTTAGTACTCACATGTTCTAAACCATAAATTAGTTAAGTTCGATGTCATAAATTTTAAATAATTTGTTCCAAAATTTTAACTTGTATGTTCTAAATTTTAAAACGTGTGTTTTAAGGTTTTTAATTATATGTTCCAGATTTTAAATTGTATGTTCTATTTTTTTACTCGTATGTTCTAAATTATTTACTCACACTTTCTATATTCTATATCAGTTTGTTCTAAATTTTTATTCACATGTTCATAATCTTAAATCATATGTCTAAATTTTACTCATATGTTTAAAATTTCATAAAGCAAATTTGATAAATTTTTAATCACTTGTTCTAATTCTTAAATCAGATGTTCTAAATATATTACTCACACAAATGTTCTAAATTATTACTCATATGTTCAAAATTTTAATTTGAGTCACATGTTCTAAATTTTAACTCGCATGTTCTAAATTTTAATTCACATATTCTAAATTTTTACTCACATATTCTAAATTTTAAATCAGTTCTCATATAAGTATGAATTCTCATATATGGACCTATTCTCACCGGATCCCTCCCCTATATATATATTTACTTTACAATACAATGATCAAATTTTAAAGTACTCTATAAATAAATAAAAAAAAAAAAAAAACACTTTATGATTTATATCATTAAAAGTATGAGTATATATTTATTTTACAATTTAAATTTATAAGATTTTTCATAAATAATTAAATGAAAGACTTGTAAAAAAAAAAGTTGAATACCATGATCAATATAATTGTGCACGCATAAAGTAAAAGCAACTATTCAAAAAAAAAAAAAAAAAAAAACTACGTAAAAAAATACTATGAGGGATCTGTTGTGAACAAGTCTCTTCTAGTTAAAGAAGCAAAAAAAAAAAAAAAAAAAAAAAAAAATCAAGAGACCCTTTGAAACAGAAAGCATGAGCAACGTGGAGTACAACCAATAATCAAAGTGATCGTCTATTTATAATAACAGGTCTCTTGGATCAACTTCAAGGATAACATATGCTACCCCATGTGTCTTCCTAGGTCCGCCTCTAGGTTTGGGTCGGCTGGCACAGGGGTGGGGGGCTGCTGGAAGAGGTAGTGGTGGTGGTGGTTTTTATTTTTTATATTTATAAATTTATTTAATTGTTGGGAAAAAATTGACTTATAACAACCAAAAAAGCACAAAATTGTTTTTTAACACCATAAAAAAGTTTGAAAATTGTATTTTACCATCATTTAATAGATTCCAGGCCATCTAAAAATTCGTTAACTGGAGGCCACAGTGCTATGTTATAGAACAAAGTTATAATGAGAACCAAGGCTAAAATAAGATATAGGAACTAATCTAGGTCCGTAAATCATGTTAATCAGACGGCTCACATGCTTCCCTTGTCATTAATGGCATTTTTGTAATATTTTAACTTTATAAAGTAGTTTCCAGTATCATTTCTCAAAAGTAAATGAAAATTTAATAAAAGTAAATGAAATCAGTCTTAAAGTAAATGAAATTGCCTTAAAAGTTAAAAAAAAATTAAAAAACGGCAAAATTACGAGAATGTCATTAATGAGAGCGGGACCAATGTGAGCCATGAATGCACAGTCATATAATTAAATTTTACAACGAATAAATTATAAATAATGGTTTTAATTCAACAATAATACCAATACCAAATAAGTAAAGGTTATTGAATTGAATTGTATAAGAATATAATATAGTAATAGAAATTTAGAAGCTATAGGGTTTTATATAAGAGACCTTAAATATAAGTTTAGGTTAGTAGCCATATACGAACTCATATACATTTATCCTTAAATTGTTGACATACTTTGACCAGCATAATATGAAAAATTAATTTATTTTATTATACTTTACGATAATTAGTATATTCAACTTTTTGTTAAATATATTTTTAGTGAGTAGTAAAGGCTTTTGTTTTGGGTGTTTTTGTCCCTTGGGAGAGTTACGTCACGAAGTCTGATCCGGCTGAGTTGTACCTGCAAAACAATGGAGACTCCGGGTGGTTGGAGCTCCGCCTCCGACGATCAAGTTAGTAGCTTGAAAGGGAATAAAGAGTACGGAAATTTAGGTGGGGATCTGCCTGGATTCCAAGCTCAGGTATTTCTCTGATGTGAGAGAATGTAGGTGTAATAAATGATTGAATGTCTCCCCAAAATGGAGAAATATCTCCCTATTTATAGGGTCCTTGGAGAACGTGCCCCTATCTAGGTCACTTGACCTAAATTTCAGTGGGCTGCGCCGTAAAACGGCGCTTCTAGGGATTTGGGCCCTTGAAGGCCGCCATTTCAGAGATGTATCTGAGGGCGCCAAGTGTCAAGAGGATATTAAGCCACATGGGCCATCCTGAGCTCGACACGTGGCCTCCTCTCATTTATCCACGTGTCTAGGGTATTTTTACCTAAACATTTGCCCCTCACAGGTCGCACGTGCATATCACGTGGGGCTTGTGACACGTGTCCACCTCTCAAAGGTGAACAGTAACGGGTAAAAATTTGAATTTCAAACCAAAGTTTTTACCCCCGCTTTCACCTTCTATAAATAGAAAGTTACCCCCCCCCCTTTTCTCTCACCTTACGCTCATTTGAATTTTTAGAGAGAGAAAGAGAGAGCTTTTTAGAGAGAGATTATCTGCCTCGTTCTGCATCACAGCAAGTTCAAGCTTCCGTGTGCTAGCAGTTCAACACCCGGTTTACCGGCTGTAGCGGTTTATAGATTTTTCAGAGTAAAAGCAAGGTAACCGCCTGTACCATTTTAGCTTTTCTCCCTTTCAACTTGTATACCATTTTTTCTCCGCTTGTATACCTAGTTTTTTAGAAAATATAAATAAGTTCTCAATCCACTCACTCGGCACTGCCTAGGACACTCAGCCGGAACCGATATGCTCATCTCCGAATTCCTCCCTCTCTGTGTCTATGCAGGACACAATGGCCAGAACGAAACAAATGGCCAGACGGTCTAGGAGCCGGCGCACTATGGAAGTGCCAGCCGATGAGATTTTCCCAGACGAGGAACAGAGGGATTTGGAGGAGAGCGGGTCTGACGAAGAGGCTCCCTCTACTTCCGGGAGCTCTGGGGTACGAGTGGTAGGCGGCGAGGGAACCGCCTCCTCTAATGAAGCCGGCGATGCTGAGGCCGGCGAAGGGTCAAGGGCCGAATCTTCCGGCTTTGACCAAGACAATTTTGCGGCTGACTATCAGCAACCGCCTAAGGTCGCCGACCTACCCAACCCCAAACGGACTAGAATGCTGCCGGGTAACATCGCCCTACTCAAGAGCGGCTTTAGGGCTTTTAAGGAAAAGCACCCCTTTGGAAGGGGCTGGGACATCATCGTTCCACCGGCTGATGCTGTAATGGCCTGGAGCGACGATATTGATAATGCAGACCATTACTTCGTCTGCTACGAGGCGATCATTGAAGCCGGCCTCCGGTTCCCCCTCCACCCCGGGATTAGGAAAATCCTAAAGGGGTACGATGTAGGGGTTTGGCAGCTCACCCCCAATTCATGGGTGAATATTCTTAGTTACATCGCCGCCTACGAGCTCCAGAATATAAATCCAAGCTTCTCCGCCTTCGCTCACATGCATTATTTGAGCAAGGCCCCAGGCGGCCATGGGGCATGGTATACTCTGACTACCTTGCCCCAATATTTGATGACTTTCGACAAAGTTTCCAAATGGTCCGGGTGGAAGGACAAGTGTTTCGGGGTTTTCTGATGTCCTGCGGGAGAGTTACAATTCTGAGACTGGAACCGGACGCCTGTACCTGCAAAACAAACGGATGCTCCGGACGATTGGAGATCCGCCTCCGACGGTCAAGTTAGTACTTGATTAAGGAGTAATTAATGCAGAAATAAAAGTAATTGGGTCTCTCTAGGTGAGAGTGTTAATGTGCGTAATCTCCCTTAATGAGGATTAATGGGCATATTTATATGCCTTAGGATGCGTGCCAGTACTAGGTTTAGGTTAAACCTAAGGCTGA